ATGAGTGGCCGACCGCGAGCCGATTGTCGTCGGAACGTAGAAAAGAATGATAAACAAAGTTTGTTGCCGAAGAATGTATTGTTTTGAATAAGTAACAGCATTGTTTTATGGTCAGTATCGGTTCTTCAAAATTGGAGAGATAAAATTAATTCTTGATAATAAAGTTCAGTGCAGTTGAGATACATATAAACAGAGCGCTTAAACGAGCCAGCAGTTGGAGCCAAGAGTCGGCAAGTGACGCAGACACTACGAGACAGCAGCGGACAAAGGGGCTGCTGAACCCCATATAATCTCTATTGTCGAGAGAATTCCCAACTTTACCTTGCTTGCTTTTTTTTTTTTTTTTTTTTAACTCGCTGCAAGTCTTGGAAGAAAAAGACGGTGTCATGTTAGAGCGTTTGACGGGGATGGGGATTCATTTTGTTGTATCAACGACTATAAACCAATTGAAAATTAACCCAGCAACCTTCTTCGTTATTTTGTTATAGCATTTTTATTTTCGCCACCTGAAGCGTTCTGTGTCCTATTGTAGCACGGTTTCGCTGCCGGCCGCCCGATCCAGCGCTCAGGTACGGACGAAATTCGATGTACACTGCTTTGTGATCAAGGAACACTACGTGGGACAGAAGCAGGTGAAGAAACGAAGCGGAAAGCAGATAACCATCTGTTGACCGGCGGCAGCATTGACCAGCGTGAGAATAACCCAGGATCGAGACGAGCTGGTCGTATTATATTTCTACTCGCTCCCTTTTTAGTCCTTGTAGACTCCACCGAGGATTATGGGTAGAAGTTATCAAAATCCCTAGGCGGCGGCGTTGTGGTTTCCATACCAAAAAAGGCTTTATGTTTGAAGTTGCTAGTCTCGTTTATAGATGATTTTCTTTTTGCTTACCCTGTGTTCCCAAGCGATCACACGTAAATAATGACCTGTTGTTCCAGCATGATTTGACCATAAGTGTGTGTATATATATATATATATATATATATATATATATATATATATATATATATATAAATAGAACTAGATCGAAAAAACTAGAATTTTTTGATTTGCTAAAAAACCCTCGAAAAAGGTTTTAAAAAAGAAAGAGCTACAAACATGAACTTCTGCCGACAAAAAAAATCGCACAGATGCAGGTCTGAAGCCCAAAGAAAAAAACCCCGATACGAGTAACAACTAACTAACAAAAAGAGCTCAATACAACCGTAGAGCAGACCTAGATACACCTAGTGAGCCAGACTAGGTTTACCTAAAGGATCGTCAGGGAAACTTTCCCTGACGATCCGTTTAGGTGAAACCTAGGTAGGTTTGTCTGGCTCACTAGGTGTATCTATATATATATATATATATATATATATATATATATATATATATATATTCATGAATTATTCACACAAAAACAAATGCAAAGGTTAATGATTTAATTGGCGAGAAATCCATCATCGCAAACAATTCAAATAATATACAAATACCTCCGAATCCGTTATGAATGAAATGATCCTTGTTTCCAAAAATTTCTGCCGTATTAGTTCTTATTTTTTTTACAATGCTTTCGTCTGTTCCTACAGACATCTTCAGGTATAGAATAGATGTTGTTCTTGTTTTTCTCTTAAATAATAAGAGGACAACGATAAATATATGTAATTATTGAACAATATAGAAAATGCTACTTTGAAAATGAAAAATTGTTTTTCATCACCATATTTTATATGAACGCACAAGTTTAAAAATTTTAAATTTTTAAAGTTGTTGTGCGTCCAAATACAAAATCATTTTCAATAGCATTTTCGGATACAAAAAATTTTTTACTTGTAATTTTTTGAGTCAAAGTGGCATGAACATATTATTCAATAATTACAGTAATGTCGCAGGAACAGACGAAAAAGTGTAGTAAAAATAAGACTAATACGTTATTTAAATTTACGATAAACAAGGATCATTTCATTTATAAATTCGGGTTTTTGTATATTATTTGAATTGTTTGCGATTTCTCGCCAATTAAATCATTAACCTTTGCATTTGTTTTTGTGTGAATAATTCATGAATTTGTAAATTGATTGCACGTTTATATATATATATATATATATATATATATATATATATATATATATATATATATATATATATATATATAAATATAGGTAACTATACTCGTTTCGAAAAACCCTCGAATTTTGATTTGCCAATAATCAAATCAATCTCGAGGGAAAAAAAGTTTTAAAAAAAGAAAGAGCTAGAAACATGAAAGTCTGTCGAAAAAAAAATCGCACAGATACAGGTTTGAAGCCCAAAGAAAAAACCCCGATACGAGTAAACAACTAACTAACAAAAGAGCTCAATACAACCGTAGAGCAGACCTAGATAAACCTAGTGAGCCAGACAAACCTACCCAGGTTTCACCTAAGCGGATCGTCAGGGAAAGCTGGCTAAAGAGGCCAAAGAGAAACGCATATTTATAGGCGATAGTCAAAGGATAAGGAGGATACAAACCCTAAAATATACATAGGTGCTATTCAGGATAAATTTAAAAAAAGATACTATAATCACACGAGTAATTTTAAAAACGAAAAAACTAAACATAGTACCACGCTATCCACCTATGTATGGAAAACTGGACAAGAAAACGATAAAGACCCCATCCTTAAATGGGAAATATTAAAAGAATGCCCCAAATATAAAGCAGGCCAAAAATTTTGTAAACTATGTACTGAGTAGCTTTATATAATCAACGTAACCATTTATTAAACTCCAAAACCGAAATTCTTAACATATGTAGGCATAAAAAATCTTGGTTACTGAATTAGGACGAATTTCCCCGTTTGTATTGTCATTCCACTTTTATTTATTGTTCGTGTTTTAATATCCCCCCCTTTTAGTTGTGAATAAATCTTAACCCCCACCTCCAGTGTTCTTGTGTTTTTTATCTTTGGTTTTTGACTATCGCCTATAAATATGCGTTTCTCTTTTGCTTCCTTAGCCAGCTTTCCCTGACGATCCGCTTAGGTGAAACCTGGGTAGGTCTGTCTTGCTCACTAGGTTTATCTATCTATCTATCTATCTATCTATATATATATATATATATATATATATATATATATATATATATATATATATATATAATAAAAAAAAGGCTTAAACACTAATATTCCATGGTCATAATTTATTCCATTGGAATCGTAAATACGATCCAATTCATCAGACCTACAAATTGAGTTCTACCTGGATTCTATCCTCTTGGAATTTTTTATTCAAAAAAATATACATGTATGTGTATGCACCTATGTATATATACTTATGTATGTCTATATTTACCACTAATATTATCTCTCTCTCTCTCTCTCTCTCTCTCTATATATATATATATATATATATATATATATATATATATATATATGTGTGTGTGTGTGTGTGTGTGTGTGTATTTGACCGTAACCGTATATATAAATGCGTGTGTGTGTGTGTGTGTGTATTTGACATTAAGCGTATATATATTTATTTATGTTTATAATAATAACATATATAATTTTATATATGTATTAGTAGTATTAGTATTATGATGTTGATTATTAAATGATGATGATAATGGTGCTTAAATAAACTTTTAACCCCTTCTTCTGTGACACTTTATCTGACACTTTATTCTATTCTGCTTTAAATTTAACTTTTCTATCTCCTTACCTCCCCTTACATAAATATTAACTCTTTTTTTTCTCTTCTCTTCCTTCATAATACAAACAAAAAAAAAAAAAAAAACATTTTCTTGGTCAATTTAATTTTACTTGTTTTATCATGTATTTTTAATTCTAGTCTTTATTTTTTTATCTTTGTATATCTAGCTGCCTGGGATATCGTGATTCTATTTAATAAAATGCAGTCGGTCTGATGAGATCAATATATTTATATTCATCGAAATAAATTTATTACTGACTATGAATTTTTAAGTTTTTCCTATATATATATATATATATATATATATATATATATATATATATATATAGTTTTAAGCTGTGCTATATATATATAGAATAAAATGTTCAATATCAGAGATAAATCCTATGCAAATATAAAAGTGAAAATTGAAGTCAACACTCAGAAGCGTCAGAGACGCAATCATCTTCAATGTTCACTTTTATATATATATATATTTGTTCGTAATATAAATACCTCCGCCATAATGGTAAAATTAGCTAGATGAAGAAACCAGTACCAACTATGCTTACCATTATGTGGGAAGTATTTTTGTCCCTTGTATATATACATATATATTTAAAATGTCATTTATTTTCTTACATATATATATATATATATATGTGTGTGTGTGTGTGTGTGTGTGTGTGTGTATACGTAACTCTTCCTTACAGAGTGGATATATGCATTTCCGGTAGGTGGTCTAGATATATTTGAAGGGTTAGATAATGTGGACAAATTTGTACCGATTTATTGCTTTCCATTTGCGTCGCAGTGCATTGGTATTCTCGTCTATATATTCGGAAATTGCCTCACTTAACGATGTGTGAAGGCCATCTGGTTGGCGCTCGTCTTTGCTGTTCAGACTCAACTCTGATTCCGTTGATCTGCACAAATACCAATCTTCATTGCCGGTCGACTGACGACCCTTCCGCATCTACTCTCTTAACAAATCACATAAAGCGGCAGTCTGTTAAGCTCTACACTTGGCCTTTGACCAATGATCTTTGACTTCTGACTATGCGTCACAACCTGAGATATGATACTTGCAAAAGTGTGCACGACAAATAAAACGCGAAAATTGTGTGCTAAGTCTTTTAGAGTTGGATTCATTTTCTCGTCCAAATTATCAGTATTATGAAAGAGAGAGAAATATGTATATATATATATATATATATATATATATATATATATATATATATATATAGAGAGAGAGAGAGAGAGAGAGAGAGAGGTGAGTCAGAGGAAAGCGAGTGTGATTGAGTTAGTGAGTGAGTGAGAGGATTAGATGGAGAGTGAGGGAAAGAAGTAATTAAAAAAAGAAAGTAAGAGGAGAGTGGTAAAAGATGGAGAGAACGAGAGAGAAGTGGATAAGAGATGGTGAATTAGAGAGAGAGAGAGAGAGAGAGAGAGAGAGACGAAGAGAAAGTGTGAGAAAGTGAAATGAGTGTGAAAGACAGAAAGATAATGAAAAGATACAGAACAAGAGAGAAATAATATTGAGAGAGACTGAGTCGGTAAGATAAAAAATACGAGGAGAGTATTTAGAGAGAGAGAGATAGAGAGTGAGAGAGAGAGGGGGAGAGATAGAGATAGAGACTGATTGAGCTAATGAGAGAGAATAATATAATGAGAGAGAGAGAGGGGGGAGAGTAAAGTAATAAAAATATGGGGAGAGGGATAGTTTAGTGGTCAAGAGATAATGATTTAGAGAGAGAGTAAGTGAAATGAGTATGAAAGCGAGAAAGAAGATTGAGAGAGACTGAGTTGGTGAGATGAATTGAGTAAGATAGAAAATATGAAGAGGGTATTTAGGAAAGAGAGAGTGGCTGAGAGAGACATAATGAACGGGCTAAAAGAGATTGATTGTTTTTTTATAGCAATATTTTTCCTGATACAAGTCTTACTATTTAACCCATAGGTGTGAGTATTCATACTCTTCCGAAAGTAAGTGAATGTAAAAAAGCAGACTGGAATTTAAACGTAGAGAGTGTAAGCAGATAGAGGGATAGAGGACGGGAAGGAGGGAAGAAAGAGAAATTTAATGATAGACTAGGAAAGCGTGCGTACGAGAGACTATAAGAGAAAGTAGGAGAGAAAGAGAAAGTTTGGGAGTTAGTGAGAAAGAGAGAGAATGACGGTGAAAAGGAGTAAGTCATTATGTGTGAGAAGAGTGAAAGAGTGAGTATTAGAATGTGAGAAAGAGATGGTGAATGAATGGGTGAAAAATAAAAGAAAGAGAGTTGGGGATAGAGTGTGGAAAAGAGAGAGTTGGGATATCAGCACTGGATCGAGCCGATCGAAAACCGTACGGCTTGTTGCTCAAAATGGTGTTCTTATCTAGCTACTCAAGAAACTTGTTGATTATAACCTCAAAAAAGCTAATGATACTGAGAAGAGCGAAGTGTCTATACTGTGAGAGAGATAGAGCTTGCCTGCATCCTTGAAAAACTTGGCTTAGACTTGAAACTTTCCACAGGCTTGAGTTTGTCTTGGGGGTCAAGGCTTTTGATATCATGAGACATCTCGGGCTGTAATGAAAATATTACTGAGGTTGTGCTCAGTGAGTCGTGGGAAGTGGGAAGCGGATGAACTTTAGTGTCTAACATTTAATTCGAGGCAAAGATCGAGGCGAAGAGCTTCGCCTTATCAGTCGAGGAAGATATGACCTCGGGAACATTTATAATAGTTTACATCGATTCATAATTTGGTTGGAGATTTTGCAGAACAATCGGGATCCAGTTAGTTTCCAAACTTGCTATGGTCTGCTTGCGCAAACCTACACATTGCATTTAATAGAATTTTCTTGAAGCGATTGTGGGTGCTTCTAAATGCATTAGGAAACAAACTACACCAAACCCTGCGATATATATTGAACTAGTAGTTACAGTGAGCTATGACTATAGCGCATTCAGGGGTGAATCAGCGTGGGCTGTTTGGTTTTTGTTGGGATTTGGGGTGGTGTGTATAAAACTGTCCATACCAGAAAGGATCCATTCAGAGACGAGGTCAGCAGTTTTAGAAGCAGCATGCTTGAGTAAGGTCGAGGGAGGAGCTTCCGTCATATAAGATCTAAGGTTACCTCTGTCTGCCTTCGTCTTGCGAAAAATCGTTTTATGAAACGATAAATCATTGGATCGCTTTGGTTTTGTATCAATTTGGACTCTGACTAACATATTGTCTGACGTGCTCTAGAGGTGGGTTAAAACTTTGCTAAGCATTTTTCAGGGCAGGATGCGAAGAAAAGATCGAAAAGTTTCGTCTGATGCCCCCGTCGCGTCAGAGAAGCGGGTGGGTTCTTCGATGAACTGGCCTAGTTCATAGTCGAAGGAGAAGTCTTTGCAATATCTGCCTTCTTCATCGGTTTTGTTCGAGTGAACTAACCACTCTTGGTGGTAGATATTGAAGTCACCACATATATGAAAGCGAATCGAGTGAAATTCAATGCAGATATTATCAATCCCCTCAGAAATACGATGAACTATTAGTGTCCCATCATCCTGAGGACGATAGAGAACGAAAACGAATGTTGTACTGTAGATAAGTGCCACGCGGAAGCACATATATGGAAGATCAGGGTCCTTGTTTTTGTGTCTCTGCCACAAGAAAACGCATCCTTAATGTAGGCGCCGAGTTCGTGGCCGTCACGATTCACGTGGTCATGTTTGGGTGCAAGGCGACACATCACCACCAACTCAACGCCGCCGACTCAACCCCGCCGACTCAGCCCCGCCGACTCAACCCCGCCGACTCAACTCTGTGAAAACTCAAATCAAGGAGAACTCACTACCAGGCTAGTCAACATGACGACAATTCAACGATGACATTTTTTCGTGGACTTTTTAAGAATAATTAAGAACCATTTTTAATAAATGACTTTATTTTTTATTTAAAACTTTATTGAAACCTGTATGCAATTGCCCTCAAATATTTAATAGGGGTGGTGGGTCGATTTGACAAAGGACAAACAATCTGCAAAATTCTTTCCTCTGCTTTCATATACTTCTTTTCTGCGACTTAAAACCAATCAAAGAGATGTGCATATTATGACAGTCAACACCGGTTTGAAGCTATGAATTCGACGCCAACGTTGAGTTGTTCTCGCGCTAAGTATGTTGGTGGTGAGTTGGCCTGGTGGTGAGTTGTCACGAAGATGTGCGAGTCGGCGGTGGTGAAATGCCATATCCCGTCATGTTTCGCTACAGATGAATGCAAAGTTACTTTGATCTTAACGGGGTTTCAGAATCATTCCCAGTCTCTTTTTTTTTTGGGTCCTTCATTCGCTTGAATACCGATCAGATCGGGTCATATTTCAAATTCATACTTGAAGGATTTTCATTACAAATGTCATATTCCCTACAGCTCAATAGTAAGTTGTGTGACGGAATGCATAAGGTAGACAAAAATGACAAACCCTAGCTTAGTGTTCAGTGTGGATGGATTAGTAATAGTGATGAATTGTCTAATTGTTGATATAAGCCCGAAAAACGCACTAAAACCAGCAGTTCGGTTGCAGCAGTAGAGCGGTCAAGACCTCTTGTTCAAGAATTCTCCTCTTTGATTCCTTTGCGTATCATGTTCTCACTTAAGGAGGATAAGTAGCTAGCTGATACCCGATCTTTCTATAAAACTCCATTCACCTCTCTCCAACGGCTGATACCTATATAATTCCACCACGCGTTAATAAATTGAGTCAAAAGAAGCCAGAAGAAAATATTATTTGTTTTTGATTCAGTCTGTGATACAGCGTTGGGTTCCTTACTGAGGAACTGCCGATATACCATTACAGTTCAAAGACGTCGGGCAGGTTGGTTTTTGGAACCTTGGAATGGCACTCAATTTGAAAGTTGGGGTTTGACATGATAAATAATGACAAAATATACTTTTGAAAATCCCTACTGTCTTTTGAGGAAATGTGTTTAAAGATTAAGTTTAGGTTCAAAATTGGAATCTGGTAATCCGTGAAAGATTTAACGCTGTCAAAATCTCACGTACCCTAATGGAAAATGTCATTTATGTAAATGTCATTTAATTTTTAATTTTGCAACATTTACTTTGTTCTCAATAAACCAAAGAAAAATAAATCAGAATTATGAATAATATAAAAATACTTACTTTATAAAAGCAAAATGACGATTAAATACAATATGTATTTAGATTGTGGCCAGCGAAAAAAAACGATTCCTTTTTTTCTCATATAGAATTTAGGTTTTATTATTTTGAAGCAGAAAAAAAACATGGGACTTGTTTTAAAAAACACGCCATAAAACCTCATAAAAAAGTAATTTCTTCATTTTAAAATAAACGGTGGTAAAATAAATATATTTCGTTTATGAATGTTGTACCGAAATTTTCTTTCAATGGGTATTATTACCGTTATAAACATTTTGTTTGTCACTGTAAAATGAATTAGTTCTTTTGTATTTTATATAACAGACTTTATTTAAAAAAGAAAGTAAACATTTCGTTTAATTTACATAACTTTCTATTGTGGAAGTGGCCAGCCTTTATTTAAAACGTTGTGTTTATTTATTTCCGTGGAAGAAACAATATTTCTATTTAGGTTTCATTTGATTTATTTTTTATTTCAAACTTACCTTTGAAAGTTTATTAAAATTAAATTTTATTAAAATAAATTTATTTAAATTAAATTTTATTAAAATAGGTTAGTGTTTACATTTGTCCTCCTTCGACAGGCAGATTGAAAGATAGCAACAAAAGGATTCTACACATGTTGTCTCTACATCAGGTATTTTTCCACCAATATCTTGCTTTGAGGAAACAACAGAAGACAGTTTTGAACCACGGAGACAGTCTAAGAGAAATTATAATCTCTAGATATGGAACATATTAAGGGTGATGTATCTTTCAACCTCGGGGCATGGCTTGCTAATAACTTTTTATTTGATCTACAGGATATGGGCATTTCATTGTGCAAGCTTTAGTATAAAGAACACTATTATTGATAAGTCAAAAATAGACGGGGAAAAGGCTAGATTAAATGTAACCACCAATCATAAGCATGTTAAGAACTATGAAAATATCAGCTGCATTGGTATTAATTGCGGTGTCGATAAGGATACTTCGCAATACAAAGTGATTACAAAGAAAAACGGCGTAAAAAAATAAAAGAAAACCCAAGGATCAGTGCGCCACTTGAGTTTCATCAGAAATAGACATTGAAAGTAGATATCTCACCCACAGAATGATCTTTAACATTGATGCAACTGGTATTGTTCTAGAAGAGGGTGTTGCGGCTGTTTTAGAATAATTCAACATCGTAAATTCCATGTTCTTGTGGACAATACCAGTACAAACACTGGTTGTGAGGCAGGGCTTGTTACAGCCCCGGAGAAAAAAAGAAAAAAAAACTTAAAAGAATGTTGCCCACCACTGTCTGTTCACTTCCTCAAAATGAACTTCCATTTAGAGCTGTTTTAAGCGCATTGATGGAACTACAAGAAACCCTAATACTTTTATTGGTCCTCTGGGAAAACTATGCGGAACTGATTACTAGTATTTTAGAGGAACACATCAAATTCAGTGAAGTCAAAAGCCGTAGTGAAGCTCGGTGGAAGTGTCATTGGCATGAGGAGCATTACACATTCATCTCGCTTCAGGTGAGTTTCAATTACTTTCCAGTAATTTCCTTCTCCAGATATAATTAAATACTATCACTAGCCCTCTAGACCTCATATATCTTACAGAAAGGGCAATAGAAGATTTAGGTGGTGACCAAAGATTGATCTTAGGATATGCAGAATATGAACCCTTGATTTTCTTCCTTGAAAATTGGGTCTCTAAATCAAGCAAGATGGCTAACTTTAGTGATCAGGCTAGTTTAGGGACAAGAAGTGCCTATCCGCTATATGATAAATTTCGCAACCTAATAGAATTTATAATTGAAATATATGAAGTTGGTCTTAAATTAAAACGAATAATAAATTCCATAACCAACAACTGTATAAACTCAACATGATCCAGAGATTATTTCAGTGTCGACTAAAATGCAGAATGTTGCATTAAAAAATTACAGTACAATTTTTTTGTTTTTGTTTCAAAATTAGTAATTAAAAAAAATTACATTCAACTCTGAAGCGACACTTTGGTCAAATTTGATTTACCTCTTATAAAATGAAATTAGTGAACCTGCGCTTGC